GTGTCAAATTAGTTTTGAAAGCAGTTTTCACGTTTAGCACTTCATATTATATTACTGCTTGACACACACATTTGTCAGGTATCAACGTTTATTGTCTTTGCATTGATGATAAGACTTTTTATTAGGAAGAACGTGATATTATGTTAAATTGCATCACGCATACATCTACCAAGTATCAAACATTTATTGTCTTTGCACTGATGATAATACTTTTTAGTAAGAAGAACATGTAATAATTATGGTAAATTGTTGATTCGGGTTCATGTATACTAGTACATGCAAACCACCTATTGAGTTTTCACTCGTTATATAAGTGGTTTGGTAAGCCAGATGGCTACTCAAGCCTCAAATAACACTCAACTCCTTCTGGTCTCATTTTGAATCCAGCAGGGTGTATTACATGTGCATTCACATGGCTCGAAATACTGGGTGCCGCGATGTGCACCTATAATAAGCGCACCCTTTTTTTTCTGTGGGTGCACCGATGCCCTGAAATATTTTTGTAGGTTTACATATACATCTTAAAATGTTAAAAGTATATTTATTCTTATTCTTATTGATAATAGCTAGTATACAACTATTCTTAACTAGGTGTTCGCAGAACAATAAAATCATTCTTGTAGTACTTTTCTTTAGTAAAGAAACATGATTAGTTTTTTTTTTTCTGACATTCTACTAATTTTATTATATATTTTATATGGTGCACCCCCCAAAAAAATGTGCACCCAATTTTTTTAGGTTGGGAGCACCAGTGCACCTATTCCCCAAAATGAATTTCGAGGCCTGAATTTAGTACCGTAAATGGGAAACATAATAAGCACTTCCCTCCGGTAATATGCTTGTATAAGCTCTAGAAAACGTGTTCCATAGCAACACGTAGTTAAATATGACCTACATGACAGGATTATAATGGTCGTCATAGCAGCGGGATCATCTAATTTGTCGGCGCTGCGTGTCTGAATTATAGCCTGCTGCGTGGAACTAGGTGGTTTACCAGGTCTTACGAAAGCAAAGGCGGGTCGGGAGATACTAGTAGTATGTATCTAAGCCTTCAGACCCATACCTTAAGAAATACATAATGGCAACCATATTCCTGTGCCAACTCGTAAGGCCACGGCAAGTAATGTTTATGGGTGACATCAGCGCGCGCATATAATTTTCCCCTGATTTTGGGAAAAGAAAACAAGGAATTTTGTTGCCCTCTGACAGTTGCCAACATGCCGAAAATGGGTAAAGATGTCTGTTGTCATGCCGGAACGTGGATGGCAGATAAATATATGAAGAGACAAGACAAGGCTCTGACTTTAATGTTTTTGATTTTCTTTTACTTTGATGCAGTGATGTACGTATTTCATTCCTTTTATATGTGATGCTGGCTGTGTATATGTGATGTTCCCACTGAATCAAAACCATTTGTACAATGATTGAAAACGTTTATTTTTCAAAGCTGTTTCAGTGAGAAATGGATGCGGTAATAGTTGGCAGTAAACGTAGCACAATATAGGTATCATTTCGTGAATAGCAAGGTTTGTGATGTCAAAATTTAAAAATTATTAAATGTAGGAATCTTGTTTTTTTTAGGCCCGCTTGTTTTTTTTCCCTATCGCATTAGATTTGGAGTCTGCAGAGGATGTCATTCATCAAATTTACTTGTAGTGGCCTAATAAGCACATCCTGAGTGTATTTTGTATCGAACTTAACCCGTGGGTGGAATGTACGTACCAGCTGTCCTTCTGTGACACGTACTAGATAGCAGTTTCCAATTGGGAAAATCACAGTCTAAGGGTCATCCTTGTACAAGAAAGGCAGCTTTAATTGACCCATACGAACTACGCTTCTGCTAAAGCTGACCGAGCTTGAACTCAAGTCAAAGGCAATTCGACCCTATATCAAACGCGCCTTCCTGAAAGAGCCAATTAAACGCATCGTGTGGACGATAATGACAACAACCTTTTGAAAACCGATGGTTTGAAAGACTTGAAAGGGTGTGTGTGGGCCCGTATAACAAGCTTCATGTTCAAATGCCAGAGGTGATCCTATTTCAAGCACGTATACGTAATGAACGCTGGCAAAGTTCAACGTTCCACAGGTTAGGTACTGACTACGCTAAGATTAAGGCTCTACCGGTATCACTAAACATGTCTATGAAACGTCGGCGTCGTGGCGTCGTGTGGTGTAGTGGTACATCACTGGACTATGAAACGGGGAGACCCGGCTTCGATTCCGGGTTCGATTCCGGGTCGTACCCGAACAAGTCCGAACATGCGCCCGACGTTGTACCCTTGGGAAAGGTAGTTTACACGACTTTCCTCACTTCACTCAGGTGTAAATGAGTACCTAGCTTCGGCTAGGGACGTCCCTCGGATAGGACGTTAAATGGAGGTCCCGTGTTTGGTAGAGCCACACCCCACGCACGTTAAAGAACCCACCACACTTATCGAAAAGAGTAGGGGACCTTCCCGGTGTGAGTGGTTCAAACTTGACAGTCTGGTCTCGGGGTTGACATCTTTGAAGAGGTGATAGTCACCTGTTAATTATGTCAATCCTTCCACAAATGTGGTAAATCGTCATAAAATAAACAAAGGGACACATTTCATCAATTGCGACACATGTTTTAAGCGTATCATTGAGCAAAACCTCCTATCATTGGCGAAAACGTAGTGCTCATGTATATTCCTGGTTAGTCACACCGACGAATTTTAAGGATGACATTCGCGCGCGCATTGATTTTCGTCTGTTCTCAAAAAAAAAAAAAAAAAAAAGATCACGTCCTCCGAGGCTCTGACCTGGCTCTAGGCCTGGGTAGTCCATGGTAGTTAGCAACAATACGAAGCCTATGGTAACTCTTATGGAGGATGGCACCCAGGCTACCGAAGGCGAGTTAGATATGTACAGTGCCGATTCATAAATTCATTTGCCGGCTTGTCGTATACGTCACTATGTATACTGCCGCAAATTCACAATGCTAACGGCTTAGTAGCATTTTTAATTTATTTTTGGCCGGATTTTTTTTTATTCGCCCGCGCGCACTAATTTGGGGGTCTTCAGAGGATGTCATCCATAAAATTAAGTCGGTGTGGCCTTAGGGTGAAATCACCAAATTCGTTGCTATTGTATCTTTGAAAAACACTAACGTTCGATAGCAATTGTCCCAGTTTACAAATATAAATAGGCGACCTAACAGCATGTAACCAATGTACTATGTCCTTCTTATATAAGCTGAGCAGCTTTGAAAAGGAGTCCCTGGTGACCTGTTGTCAAACTAAACTCGCAGCAGCTCTAAATGATTGTTAACAGTTTACGTAAGGGTGTACCCGGGCATAGTCAGGCTGTTAACGTGTGTTACGAAAGACTTTTATTTGTAGGGACGAACTAAATGGCGAAATGATGGAGAAAGAGACAGGGAGGTAACAGAGTAATATTTCAGAACCCGGTGGAAAGTCCCCCGCCATTACTTACCTACCTAATGATATTTGTACAAATAAACATCTAGGTTTCTTCTGTATATATTTGTTTGTATGTCCCTAGAGTTTTGTATTATTTTAATGATGTACTGTGTTTTATGTTTTCTTACCTATAAGGCCATGTTGATTTGATTATATGGATGACATCCGCGCGCGCATGAATTTTCGGCCGTTTCCAAAAAAAAAAAAAAGTTTTCAACCGTACTGTAAATCGTGCAAAACAGTTGCTAAATGAGCAAAAATATACCATAAGTTGCAAGGAAAACATTTAGAAACGATACCAATGTCGTAGAATGCCAAAATCAAAGGAAAAAAGACAAAAATATAAAGAAATGAATTCGAAGAGTAGATTATTCGCCATAACATATTCTGTGCCATTTGTTCAACCTTCATGACCACGTATATTTCATAGTGAAAGCAACTTTTTTTTTTTTGCAAAACTTTTTTTATTCGCACGCGCGCATCAGTTTTGGGGTTCCCAGAGGATGTCATCCATATAATCAAATCAACATGGCCTAATAAAGAATAAATGAAATGAAATTTACTGTGTGACCGTTGAAATGGGTGTGCTATAGCTACACATGCTTGTCATGTAGTCGGAGTTATATATACCACTGTTTTGTATATCAAACATGCTCAAAGCTGCAGTTTCACAAGGGAGGCTTAAGAGACGTTGCACGGATTTAAGCCCACCTGGTCGAGTGCCTACGTGACTACAAAGGATATCGCTGGAATATTTCACGGTCTAGGCGGTGACTTAATGTAATATGTCACTACATCACAAACATCACGCAACAGTCGAGGCGACTCAAAGGACGCTACTAAATCACATTTATATGGAGACTTCACAACGAAGTCTCTTTGCATTAGCACTAGGCGGCGGAGATGTCAACCTTGAATATAATGGGATTCTATAAAAAAAAAGGTCTAATCTTAAATATAGAATTCTAGGAAACAGTTCCAGACCTTAAGTGAAATTCTAAGAAATATGTCTGTATCAAATCAAATGTTAAAACCAGATAATTCGGACATGGTGCATGACTTTTGTACAGACTACACTCGGTAATACACAATATGGAAGTCTCTATTGTTCTCAATACACAATGGGTGATGGCTTTGGTATTTTCACTGTTTAGTTAAACGCGTCAGGTTATACCCTACAAACCTTTCATCACGTATCTTCACATTCAGTATTGCGTTTGAAAGTGTACTTGGAACACGAATTCATCGAAACGGATGTGTATTTTCTCATTTAGCCCAACGTATATTTTTCCCCTCCAGTGTTTCTACGCGTTAGTTACTTATGAATATGATTGCTCGGCCTTCCGGAGTAACCGGATGCATTTGAGCCCAACGGTTTGACTATCATCCCAGGAGAAACATAACGTTGTCGAACTGCTCTAACAAACAGATATTTCTATCCGCAGTAGAAAATGCTTTCGAAAGGCACAGGCAATTTAGTATGACTGCTCACTGACGCTATCTAGCGGAACATTTTTAAACTGCAGATGAAAGCTACACTATATTTCCCAGTGTCCTCTGCGATTTCCTCCTCTTTACGCCATCTTGCGCAAAGTGTGGTGTTCTCTTGCGAGCTAAGGGCGCAATCCGCCGACTCACACTTCAACCAAGGCCCATCCGTACAGATTTTGTACGCAGTCTTGTACTTTAGAGCACAAGGAACATTTCTGTGTCGAAAGTTTTGTAAACCTGACCGAGAATTTTGAAAATGGCATCAACCTCTGAACTCGCCTGTGTGTACAGCGCTCTCATCCTCCACGACGACGATGTCGCCATTACTGTAAGCATACTTTTGTCATATAATTTTTTCCCTCCCAGGAGCCTAGAAGACGCTTAAATTTTGTTCATCATCACAAGAGATTTGGTTATTTTGGGGGGTGAAAACAGGGCAGGGGACGGTGTCAGTCACGAACAAAACTCTGAATCAACCCTCGTGGGGGGAGGGGGGCACATGTTTCTGAACACCGTCAGACTCAGAACACAGAAGATTAGCTAAATCTGTAAAGGCTATGGTACCTTGGCTTACTTTAGGACGAACGAAGAAAATTAACACGTCCGCCTTCTCGCTCCCATGCACACAAAATTGTTGAGTTTTATGTTTCTGATTACCAAAATCATCATACAGTTTCATGCAGTTTTAACTAAGTAATTTAGTCTCACTCAACTTAGTCTAGTCTAGTCAAAAGTAAAGTAGCACAGGTAAAACTTGTTTTGAATACCCAAGATGATCAGAAATGTAGCTTGGTAACATAGCCCTCTCCCAGCTGCCAAAACCAGCAATCAATACAAATTTGGTGCAAAAAGCAGCGAAACATAATTTCACCACAGACAGTATATTGAACAGGGCTATAACTATCTGGAATACTCTCCCTAGCGAAACTAGAACAACCCGCTCCCTCAGCTCCTTTAAAAAGAAACTATGGACAATACTTGATAAATACTTGACGACACCTACTTAGTAAATAGTTCAATAGAATAATATTGTATTGACAATGTAAATATAGTGGACAACATCTGTTATGTAATAGTTTATTAACCTGACATATAAATGTAATTGTAGTAAACGCACGACGACCAGGCCGGATATTCTAGCTTGTTAACGTTTCGCCACAACATCTGTTATGTAGTAATAGTATGTCTATCTGAATTGTAACTGACACCGTTAACTGTTAACTGTTCCGAATTGTTTATGTTATTGTTGTGAGGGCTAGCCCTTTATAATAGCCTCCGGCTAGTTGGGCAGTCCTGGCTGCATACATGAGTTATATCCAAACCAAACCAAAGATTAAAATTTAGAAAGAAAATGAACTAACTAGTATAATTAGTAGTAACTAGTTGAGTACACGAATTTGACACCAAGTTCCTTCTCCTTCCCAGGGAGAGAAGATCGAGGCCCTGATCAAGGCAGCCCACGTGGACGTTGAGCCGTTCTGGCCGGGACTGTTCGCCAAGGCCCTGCAGGGTTCCGACATCTCAGCCCTCCTGTCCGCTGTCGGGTCCGGCGGTGGCGGCGGCGCGGCTGCACCTGCAGCTGGGGGCGGTGCAGCTGATGCACCTGCTGCAGGTCAGAGGATGACTCTGTTTTCTCTTTCTTAATTTTAGGCTACATCTTTGGAGCACAGTTATTGCTATGTACTATATATAAAAATGTTTAGGTTCAAGTCCAGAAAATCTGAACAGTGAGAACCAGTTCTGGACTTAAAAAAGTTTGCCAACATGTAATTTTGTATATGTCATGGGTTTCGGTCTGGACTTATAAGTACAGAGCTGAACCTAAACCTCTGGACTTAAATCCGGACCTGAACCTAAACATGACTCATGAGTTTAAGTACATGGCACTAGGCACAATTCAATGCTTTCAAGTACACAATGTAAAGGTACTGAAAACTGCCACAAAATTGCCAACTACAATGTATCAGTTGGCAATTTTCGACACAAAATGATACTTTTGTGTTACTGATCGGATCATCCCATATTTTTTGGTAGAGGTAATTTTTGAAACACCACAGGTGGTTTTATTCTGTCTTGGTCTTTATAGTAAAATTATAGCTATTGATTTTGGTGAGTATCTGTAATTGTGGTCCTTACAATTGTGGGATTACATTCTTGACAGCTGAGGAGAAGAAAGAAGAGAAAAAGGAAGAGTCTGATGAGGAATCTGATGAAGACATGGGCTTCGGGCTGTTTGATGATTAGACCTAAGTCTACTGTCCTTGTCCGAAAGGCAAGATTTGGCGTGAACTCCCATAACTCTGGGTGTCGTTTTCCGCCACTTGCTTGGCTTGGTTGTCTGCCTCTACCAAGTCCTAAAACTTCACTGCCTGATGATAGCAATTGAACTAACCTTTTCAGGGATACCAGCATTCTTTGGTGATGCTTGGAAGCTCTCCAGAGAAATTCACTTCTGGAGTCATATATTAGCCCCATTCATGTTGTGTCTTTTTGCTGAAGTGCTTGCTTGTGCCATGTTGTTTTTTGCTGCCATCTTTGGCAGGCTTCCATGTATGCTACTGGTGTAGCGTGATGTGAACTAGTGTTGCTTGGTGTATGTTTACACATTTATTACATTGTCACTACCTGATGGTTACCATTTTACAGCTCAGAAATCTTACAGATGTTTTTTGTTTTCTTTTACAGCTAAAGAAGAGGAGAAGAAGAAGGAAGAATCCGAGGAAGAAGAGAGTGATGACGACATGGGATTCGGACTGTTCGACTAGATCCATTGTCTTCAACATCTGTCAGAAATGGAAAAAAAAATGTCCATACATGCTTCCAACTCCTTTGTGTATCTGACATGATATTCAGTGTGACCTGGAATGTTATAATATATTACCAAGGTTTTCTGCTTATTCTGTGTACATGAAGAAGTAAAAGCTGTATGATAACAAGAAAGACGTGACTTGTGTCTTCATTGTCTACTGCTACACTGGTTGAAAGGGCTGTGACAAATTCCATGTAAAGAAAATTGAAACTTCTGTCCCTGGAAGTGTTTCAGATATGCAGCAATTAAATATAGTGTGTGATGATAATTATTTCAAATTAATACAGGAATACCATCTCAAATGTTATATTTGGTAGTGAAGTGAAGAAACTAGGTCTTTATCACATTCAAATGTGCTAAGCATGGGTTCTCCAAGCCACAAACCAAGCTACACTGACTACCTAGTAGTTTTTACCTAGTCCTATGACTGACCAAAGCAAGCTATTTCAAAACAATGGAAGACAAGTAAACAATGACACAGTATTTATATTATACAGTGTAGGCTTTTGTTTCATTCTTTTAAAAACAAAGGAGATGAGCATTTAACTTTTTAAGACATTCTGCTGCAGTCCAATTAAGTAGAATACTGGTACATGTTGGTGTCATTTCTCCACACAGAACAAGGCTGGTTTCTTCTGAGCTGATTTCTCACGCTGCACTTCCTCTAAGTAAGGCTGTAGGTAGGGGTCCTCGCTGTACTTGGTCCACTGTTCAGGCACCAGTACCTGTTCAAGTTGGAAAAACTGCACTTTGAAATACTGTACTGTAGATCACTTGATGTTTGCAGTAGTAAAAGATCGTGGTCAGAGGAAAATGAACATGTTTGCAGAACTATTCGTTCGTGGTGGCGGCAGATCAGCAAAAAGAAAGTTGGCAAATTATCTCTTTATGCTAACCCAGACTAAAGCACTCACATGCATTGCCAAAATTTCCACATCAAGAACATATCTGGAAATGTGAAAAATAACTAATTCCTACATTACCATTGATATGTTTGAAAAGCTGCATTATTTCAAACAGTGGGATTCTTAGTAGATAATTCTGCTGAAGAAGCTAAGTTGTGACACAATTTCCATCTATATGTAAATTTTGGACATAAAACAGCTGTGGACTTGTGTACAGTCCTTTTTACCTGTAACCTATTTCAGTCCAGAACAACTTCTATTGATTTATGAAACCTATTGAGAAACTGATGGTGAGACCCACAAAATTAGGGACAGGTCACTACACATGGTATGCACCATTGAGGAAGGTAATTGTGCAGAAAGGTATTCAGCAGAAAAAACAATTTGGATACATGTTGTTTCTCTCTCTCTGCTTCTAAATAAATTCAAAGGGCACGTAATGGTTTCCATAACCAGATGAATATTAAATTTTACAAAGTGAGTCTTCCTACCTCCCCTTAAGTGCCCCCCCCCCACTGCCACACATTTTGAAACATGTACATGTTGTAATGCCCCTCCCCCTGTACATATGTAGTTATAAAAAATGAAATCCATTGTTTTTCTTCATGAGGTGAACTTATCTTGCCATTCCCTCATTAGGCATGTTCATGCAACTTGAATGGACAAAGCTACATTGTATGTTGGTGGTTGTAGCATCTCTCAAAACTATTCCACATTTCAGTCTATATTCTTAAAGGACAAAATACTACTACATGTATACTACCATAGTATAGTAGACTTTTGGAATGGCTACCAAAACATACATGTATGTGTTGCCTTAACTTTCTCACCTGTTTCTTCAAAAGCAGGTTGACTGCCCTGCACACTCTGAGATGTCGTTCCTCCAGCGTATTCCTGGGCAGTCGTCTCAGGGATTCTCTCACGTTCCCTCCTTCATACAGCAGGTCGTCTTTCTTCAGCCCCAGCTGGTTCTTCCCACCTGAAGTGAACCTTGTCTTACTCCTCTCCAGCCAGGTGTAGTCGCTGAGTGTGATTACCTGGTCTTTGTTTCCCGTTTCTCTCCTATTTTTTGTCTCCATAATTATGTAATGTTGTTAGATCTATTTACATTAAGATCACTTGAAATGTCTGTATCCTTTTCCTGATTCAACTGTCTGCTGTGCAATTTAAGTTGAAAGTTCATAAAATATTTATGGCAGACACAGTGCGATTCCTAGAATGTGCCAACAGATATGTAATTATCCTACATATACAATGTATATAGGTAACGCTTAAGCTGCAAACCATGCAATTGGAGCTGTCCAAGTGTAGGAGAATGCTACAGTAGGCTCAGTTGGGAAAAATCCACTGGTGTAGAAAGGGCCAGATGGTCTAAGTATGCAACAATTGGTACATAACCACAGCTGGAGGGGTTTTCATTGAGCAGCCCTGTTCACCTCTGACTCTAACCTGGTTACAGCTTCTTTTGTGTAAAGAGACTAGGGTGACACCAACTGCCCGACCTTTCTGTCATACAAATACAGTACAATGCGATGCAGATACACGTAACGCATATTAGTTACATGATCTTGATAGACTAATGAAATGTAGAAATGTGGTAAGAAGGTACTGATCATTCTATGGGCATGTTTAATGTGCTGGTTTCTCTGGTGTTTTCATGTCAGAGCACAAAGACTCAAAAGCTCACCAGGGGTCAAGGATATTGACTAGTCCTGCCTTCAGGCAAGTATGGTGGCTCCTTCAACTTAACAATACCCCAGTATTAAAAAGTGGGGGGCGTGAGGTATAATTTACATGTGTACTTTGCTTTCATCTTTGTGTTTGCCACAACTGCACATCATTTTATTCATGAACATCAAGTTTTCATATTATTTTATTTCTATAAAGGAGCATTAAATGTCTGTATCTGTATAGCCGGTATAACCGCCTTTCGGCGTAACACACCAGCTTCGCAGGCACGCGGCGCGGCGGCAGCTGGCTATATTACACCGATCGACTTGTTACACCTAACCCTTGAACTTCTAGCTCTAGACATTGTTTAAAGCTATCTATTGACAATGCCCCTACTGTACTTGGTGACAGTGAGTTCCACTCTGCGATAGTTCTAGGAAAGAATGAATTCTTGAACACCTCAATCCTTGGTTGATAACTCTGGTACTTGAATGCGTGGCTATTTCTTGTTCTCTTCTGGGCTGGTATTAGGTACTTAGTAGTTGGGACATCCACCAGTTTATTAGTCATTTTGTACATCATGCATAGTCTAGACATCTTTCTTCTGTCTTCCAGTGAGGTCCACTGTAGGTTTCTTTTCATTTCCGTGACACTAGCACCTCTTACATAGTTGTTCATACAGAATCTTGCAGCTTGATTCTGTACCCTTTCCAAGGTACCCTTTCTGTACCCTTGTCAACATGCAATTAGCTTTCATATTTTTTATTTCTGTAAATGAGTATGAATATTGTCTCCTCTCAGTAAAAGTATTAAAAGAAAATTCTTCAGTCAACAAAAGATTATGAAATAATAGAGGCAGAACAATATATCTGTATGTGTAATTACGTTAAAATCTATGACAGTAATTACATACTCAATACATAATATACCCCAAGGTTTCAAACCTATATCCATTTAGCCATGGCATGCCATTTTGATATGTAAGCAAACTGAGACACTGTAGATTAGTTACATTTTATTTGCTGATGGTAATATGGTACAAGTACAAAGGTACTACCATACCTCAAGGAGTGAAGCCAAATACATCTTTAATATTCCAAATCTGCACTGTATGAGTATGCATGATAAATCACCAGAGGAATACTGTACTCACCTAACCCTAACCCTAACCCTAACCCTAACAGTCATTAATTGAATAGTTAAACCACCCACCCCTCAGCCTATTTCTTCCAGTCCATTACATAAAAGATTTGAACAAAAGCATTGACAGAAAACAATTGGAATTATTCATTGATAAGAAAACAAAAAGAAGTATTTTCATCCTTTTTTGTACACATTTTCAGTTCCATTTACTCCGACGAGAATATTAGCACCAGAGATTTTGTTGACATACGCCTTTTTTTGACATAACGAGAAGATTTTGACACAACAAGTACGTAGTACAAAAACGAAGCATATGTGAATCAGCCCCGTCTGTACTGGACACCAGGCAGGACACACAGCATCTCAAACAGCAGGTTAGCTGCAGTCAGCGCTGTGTTACCGGATGGGTCATAGGCTGGGGAAACCTGGGGAAGGCAGCAGAATTGTTAGATAAATGTACAAGTACATCTGTGCCAGGTACATTAGCCTGGGTACCATCATCATCAGCGATCTATACCACAGTGTGAGCATGTATGAAGAGTGAGTAAAAAACTAAACAGCAATGTCAGGTACCAAGGCTACAACCAAATGTCACAGGTATGACTGATTGCCATTTTGTAATAAATACAGATATACTTGTATCCTCCAGACTTAATCTGCAGTCATTATCTGCAATATATATAACATCAACAGGTGGCACTGTTCAACATCTCTTATCTACATTCTACATGATGTACACTGTGTTTTCAATATGATAACTTCATAATACACCTACATTTTAAGTAGATCTTGTAGTAAAATGTAGTAAAAGTTACGGTATTTCTTGTGGCATAAATGATTAGAAAAATAATTATATTGTTCTCACCTCAACCAAAACTACTTAACACAGTTTAGATCTCTCTTATTCACATGATGCCTTATATATAGTACCGGTAGATCCCTCAAAAAGTTTGCTAGCAAAGTCTACAAAAGTTATTTCTTGGGGCATGAAAATGGCTAAAAAAAGAATACTGTTCTCACCTCTACCAAGTCCCCTCCGACCAGGTTGAGCCCCCGACATCCCCTGATGATCTCCAGACCCTGGTGGGACGTCAGACCGCCTATCTCAGGTGTTCCTGTCCCGGGGGCGTACGCTGGGTCCAGGGCGTCGATGTCAAAGCTCAGGTAGACAGGCCCGGTCCCCATCTGTGCACGAACCTCCTCCATCAGTGGTGCCAGAGACTTGTACCAGATCTCTTCTGCCTGAACCACTCGGAAACCCTGCAAGATAAAATGCACTCACATTTACTGAACTGTTGATGCTGATACACAGTGCTTAGAGAGGAATAGTGTACTTCTAGAGGAATATTAGTACACTGTGCTAACAGCAACAGTATACTACAAGAGGCACGTTATTATACAGTGCTACATTGTTCAGATTGGGGCATTAATTTTGTGTTTATAGACTGAGTATACTGTTAGAACTTTTTACCCTCTAATTACTGTGGGATTGTCTGTTAGTGGAGCAGTTTACCACAGAAATGGCAGCACAGAAAAAGTAAACAATTCCCCAATATCTAATATTATGTAGGCTCATCTTAAAACATTCAAGAGTGACTTTCGACCAGTTACAATATATAATGCAAGCATAAGGAAGGTTTCCCCCTATAGTCTGCTACATGTATGACAAAGAAGGACTAGCCAGTCTTTAAGCAATCTCTTGTGTCAGGAATGATGTAAAAAGATAGGTATTCACCCTTGAAAGTGCATAAGTTTAAGAAAGGTGATCTCCATCTAATTCATTATGATTGTGTAACACATCAGATTGGCAAGCATACATGCATAAAGTATGCAGACATTAAAAAGTGATTTTTTTCTATACCTGACTTCTTGACCAATCATAGTCGTAATCAGTGTACCCTGTTCCGCGCAGCCCTATCTGAATGACTCGGCTACAGTCCAGGAGACCTTCTTCCACCGCACGATAGAACGGCGTACCGTGGGCTACCTTCTCGTTGCCCATTTGGTCGTGCGTGTCCGCGTGTGCGTCCACATGCACTAAGCCAACTGGGCCATGCTTATCCTGTAATAGAATATATGCACTTATATTGTATATAGAAACTAATACTAGTAGTGTGCAGCATTCACCACAAATGACTGAATGATCCTCCCCTGTTGATTGAATTTTTAAAAAATTATTTTAACAGAAGAACTCTGACAAATGTTATGAGGTCTTTTCCAGAATGGCATTGGACTTTTTAGCTAGCTATGGGAACCTTGTTAATTTTCCCATCTGGCAAAATATTTTGAACTGTGAATACAAACAAATGCAACCAGGGAGAGATCACTAATCATTCAAGGTGAGTGCCACACCTTAACTGATCTACCTGTTGCCTGCTCCACCCATAATCATCACTGGAATACCCCGTGCCTCTCAGCCCTATCTGTAAAACGCGTCGGCAGTCTAGGAGGCCGTCCTCCACCGCCCTGCGGAAGGGCGTGCCGTGGGAGACTTTTTCTCCGAGCTGTGTGTCGCTGGTGTCAGCGTGGGCATCAACATGTACTAAGCCAACAGGACCATACTTGGCCTACAAAACGTAACACATAAACGGAATCACAAGGGCTGAAAACATTTTCTGACAAAATTTTTCCTCAAAACTATTTCACAAACTTTAACAATTTCTCAGTTCTTTGTGCTTAGAATGACTTCTCTCATATAGTTCATCTAGCAGCCCTTATACAATTTATTGTTGTACATGCTTCACTCATGATACCTAGACTAACACTATATAGACTAACTAAAGCCCCATCCACTTCAGAAGTTACTAGTACATACCTTAATGGCTTGTAAGATGGGGTAGGTGAGAGTATGGTCACCCCCAAGGGTCAGGGGCTTGCACCCATTTGCCACGATCTCAGCGTAAGCCTCTCGGATCTTCTTCACTGCGTCCTTCAAGTCGTACATGTTGATGAAGACGTCTCCGATATCCGCAACTTGGAGGGAGTCGAACGGTGCAGCACCTGTGGAGAAGGACCCCCGCAGCAGTAAAATCAAGCAAAGGATAAGGTAGATAATATTATCAACTGGGTACGAGAAATAAACTGTGTATAGTAATAGTGTACTAGTACTAGTAACATATGGTACCTAACATACCTGTCCAGTTGTTGTAAGGTCTGAGCATGACCGACTCGGTGCGAATCTGTCTTGGTCCAAATCTGGTTCCTGACCGGTTGGACGTACCGATGTCCAGTGGGATCCCCACAAAGCAGGCATCCAGACCTGTGTGTGCAACAGTGCATAGAATTGATGATAACTATATATATAATGTAATGTCATCAGTGAAAAGCCTATGAATATACTGTAAAAATTACTATAATGTGAAAATTATAATATCCAGATCAAAGCCGGGTCAAAGCGAATCTATTTGGCTTGATCCGGAGTCATTCTGGACGATTCTATCCTTGTGTAAAAAGGGCACTGATTGACAAGATGGGCAGGCAACACCAAGCACACTTCTGTGTGGCGTTGCCAAAAACTGCGTGGGGTCATGTAGGGGGCAAGTTATGCCTGGCCTGGCAACATGTGTGTGGGGTCCCCCCACCGCTGTCACAAGACTTGACAATCAGTAAAAGCTGAAACAAAGCGTTAGAAAGTTCTGTAAGCACCTTGTGTATCCTTCTGGACGGGTAGACGCATCATGGAGGCGATGCCGCCGGGTCTGGGCAAGTCGTTCCCGCTGGGAGGAACGTTAAACTTCTGCTGCCAGACACCGCTCGTGCACAACGGTCTGGATCCTTCAAGGGGACCAGAACGGCCCCGAAGTGTCTGCAGAAGAACTCGTCTGGCTGCAACCGCCATGATTTCTGTTCTATAACGTCCTTGGTTCTTGTGAAAGTAGTACTCCGGTCCACTAGTACTATACTAGTTCACTGCGTAAGGGGGCGGGGTTGCATGCCAGCTGACTGCCTGAGCGCCAAGAGAGTTCAAAGTTCACAGTTGTTGATCATCGAGAAAATGCTGACGCTACAAAGACAAGGTTAAATCCCTGGCAGTCCAATGTTGTTTTTGTAACTTTTGTCGAAAAGCCGATTTTAATTTGGAAAAAAAACCCCAACACATTACCGTTACGGATTTTCATTACGAACATTTCGCTGTGAGAGCCACACAATGTTGGTTCGAATGACCTAATGACGAACTCGCGACCTATTTTTCGGATAATGTACAAGCAGATGTTAGGGTATAATGAATTTCTTTATGGCTGACTCGTATTCTTGGCACGCACTAGTCCCGAGATGAGGTATTTCATGACACACAGCCTTGCATTTCCCCGGGCAATGAGTTGTAAATCGGGTCCTAGCTACTTCCCACTCTGAGATGACGTGCTGTTGTAGAGAGAGAGGGAAGTCGCCAGGAGGCGTGTTGAATTAAAGGCCCACTACGTCTTCTTCTTCTCACAGACAAGCAGGGGGGGATATATTACCTCACACGGAGGTTTCAAAAACGTACCTTGGGTCAATACTCACTCATTGGACCTACGTACTACATGTACATTTTGTGCCATACTGGCTGGCCGTAGCTTTCGGTAGGGAATTTAATTTTGTGATTTACACATGTGCACCACTCGGTGTTTTTAATTTATTCGGCGGTTGTAGTAACTGAAGAGGCTTTATCATACCATATACGCCGAGGATAGGGCGAATCACTTACGATATTATCATATAGCCCATCCAAACTGGCACAGTGCACATTCCTGTATAACATACAGTCACTCCCCTATCTTTACCATCCGCTGGGTTGATGTTCCTGTGCACCTTCCTTCAATGTCCAGGACCCAACAACAGAGTCTAGATCGCAATATTGGTTTTCAATTCTTCAAGGAAAAATTTCTGACATCGCGTTGGCATTGGGCCCTTGTGTTTGTTTTAGGCTGTTGTACCAGGGTTCACCTGGGGCCACCGGCGGTCATTCGAACAGACTGGGGTTACCGACGGTCATTTAAATTTCTTTAGTCAAGTAACAAGTATGTGTAACTAATGTGCGATCCACATCATAATTGTACAAAATTGCAGTGCACCCGTGCCCAACGGCGCTCTTCATACCACAACTTCACCGATCTCAGCTGGAGACGCAAAACTCTCCCAGATCTACCAGATCGAGGATTTAAAAGGTACTGGCACAGTTTTTCGTCAACTTATCTGTGGTGATGCATTTATCATGATCACGATAACTGTCAACCATAGGAGAAATTTTGTACCAACAACGGTTGAACTTTGTAACAGTCTTCCGTGGGAGATTGCTATGATCAGGGACAGACAGAGAGTTAAATGTGAAGTTAATTCTTTCCTCAGCGCAAAACTCTGACAGCATTCTGCTGCTAATGCTGAGCAGACATAGAAAAACTGTCTTTCTGAACAAGACGCTCCCAAAAGTCTTACTCCATGGTATGTTCGCAGCTAAATCACAGGGTTCCATTTGTTTAATCGGTATGCAATTTTATACGTCGTCTCCAGTCGGGTGGGAATTTTGATACAGCGTTTTGAAGAGTTTTTAACACGTGCTTTTAATAGCCGGCCATCCTACAACCAGCCGCGATCGAGAGAAGGTTCCATTCCGCCCACAGGCTCCGGGCGAGTGGGAATTTTAATACAGCGTTTTGAAGACTTTTTAACTGTAGATAACTGTACAGCGCTAATAAATATGCTAGTATTTCGTATATTAGTATATTAGTAATTGTTTCGCACTTGGTTGGTTGGTAAATTGACCTCAATATCCACTTACTGGATAAGGTCGTATTACATAACAACGCTAAGCTAAGCAGGATTGATTCCCACGGACACATCAAAGAGCAAAGCGACACACTCTCTGAGTCGCTAATCAGGAGGAATTGACCTTCTGGCCTCTGACGCCAGTGCAGTCAGAGACTATGGCCCGGTTTACACGGAGGGAAAATCCTTGCGTACGAAAATGTTTATGGATAGAAGGGATGGCATCAACTTTATTTATTAAAGAAGCAGAGTTCGGATTTAAAAGCAAAAGGACCAACGGGAACGGGGTGTTAAAGAGGCAATATATGAAAGAATGTACAACCCCACCCTCAACAGGGAAGGGGGGCTACGGGTCGATCTTTCCGGCACTTGGGATTTGGCACTCCCAGCCCCGAGGACAGACAACACTTAAGCTCCTGTTCTGTATAACAGGAGCTTTCAGACTAATTTGCATAATCTTGTCTTGACTTGTCTGACTTTTGTTCATTTTTCGACTTCCAAAAAATTTGTCTTCACTTTATTTGCATATCAATCAATAGCTTGTACTTATAAACCTGCTTTCCCCTCTGGTCTCTCAGTCACTGACGAAAGCTAGTGGATACTAGCTGAAACGTCTGACGTTTTCAAAATCATATCCAGTTGCAATTGCTTGAGTAACTGTTTTTTGGCGTATCGTATTACCTGGATGTCTAACCTTCATCGACGTACTTGAAAGGACCAACAGAGTGCCTGGGTGACTCTGTAAGCGGCACTTTCTGGTGACCTTCTGGCCTGTCACACCAATTAAAAAAAATAAATTTGACAAAAAATAACATCGCAGGTAACGAACAGGTCTAAAGTATTGGTGTCTAAGCCTAGCTTGGTCCAAGTAATTTTCTCAATTTCTTTATCTGCTTAAACATAAACTGTTCAGAAGAGAAGGACACTGGACAGGACATGCAATTACAGATGTTGCAATTTTACCCACCTGTTCGTCGGTATGTTTGAAGAAAAGGAAACAAATTGTGCAGGACATAAGGGATAGAAGGGATGACCAGGAACTGTTCAGAAGAAAAGGACACTGGACAGGACATGCAATTACAGGTGCTGCAATTTTACCCACCTGTTTTTCGGTACGTTTGAAGAGAAGGAAACATTGTGCAGGCTATAAAATACATGTACTGTTGATCGTCATAGAAAACCTGGTGACCTGACAATTTGATAGCTATATAATCCAAGTAGTAAAATAGGTACGGTTTAATATATTAGCGCGGGAAAACTGGAATTAATAATGAACATGTCTGGAATTACATTTATTTTCCGGGGGGGGGGTCTTTTCCTTTTTCGTTAGCTTCGATCTGTCTGTTAGATGAAATGGAAATACATACCGTACAGTCAACAACTGCTTGTAAAGCTGTTTTCAAAAGATGGGCACTGGAGTATGGACAGAACCTGCAAGTAATGTATATTATTACAACCATTAGCGTGATTAAATAGAAAGACATTGTGCAGAGCATGCAACTTCTCTGTGAGCCTCACAGAGAAGTTGCATGATCTGCACATTGTCTTTCTATTTAATCACGCTAATCACTGTGTCCCAAGGTCGTTAACGTTGGTATCAAAACACAGACACTGGACAGACTCAGCAATTAATGTGAGTCATAAGTGGAGCAATTACTACGATTAGTGATCTTTTATTCCTAGCTATACTTTAGGTGTCCACAGGGCCTAGGGAGACACATTTCGTCAGAAAAAAATTAAGGTGGGCTGAAACAAAAGGGCGCCGCCCGCGCGTCTGGACAATAATATGTAGCGTGCAAATTGTAATTGCCTCATCAGTAGTGGTAAACAACGATCTCACAGGTGGTCGTTGATTGTGTACCTTGACTTCTTCTTCTTTTATAAACTTTCTTGGTACATCACAAATAATTTTTTAAGGGTTGGATAGTGTAGTACTAGTACTGGACCATTTTGTTTGCAAACTTTGCCAGAGATTTAATTTGGAGCGATAATTAATAACCGGCTGACGGGCCATGATGTCCATGTTTGTTTGATGTTGTTAATTTCTCGTCGGCACGACGACATAAAGACGAAGAAATATCTGTAATCTTGTTGTCACCGCTTACTAACCTGCTACACCTGCAAGTATGCAGACCCCCAAACCCACCAACCCTATCATTCACGGCCAGTGATTGGTTGGAAAAATTGGGCCGTGTCTATACGGAATCACCCAAACCGCGATTCGGGTAACTCACATTCCTCACATCTGGTCCACGTGCCACACACACCTGTGAAACCGTGTCCGAACACAATACGCTTGAGCTACATTTATTGCTGTTTGATGATAACACGCAAGGTGGCGTGTTATTAATGTCAGAGGTCAACGACCTGCTTGCTGATGCACCCCTCCCAGCGTATCTCGGCCGAATGCCGACGTGGTCCCGCAGAGGCGGTGAAGCTCGCCTAGAACGGACACATTATTTGACCATTACTGCTCTTTAAGTTGCTGCCACGTAAAAGTTGGTATTGCATATAAAAAAAAGAAATATCACCCCGTAATCCATGACCAGGCGAAGTTACATTGAAATCACATTGCGTTCAGACGCAAATCGCGATGCGGGGAAACCGATTCGAAACCACCTCTAGAAGTGGCTTGGGATCGAGGCGCTTTCAATGTGATTTCGGGGCGTTCACATGGAGCCACTTGAAACCGGCTTCGGGGTAAACCACATGTAAACCGCCTTGGGTGATTCCGTATAGGCCGTGTCGCGGTTTGGGTGATTCCGTATAGACACGGCCATAGACACGGCCTTGGTCAAGGACTGGTCACAACAGATAATTGACCAATCAATGGTTATATCTTAATGATAATTGCACAAAATTGCAGTGCACGTGTGCGTCAGAGTGTATAAAGACCCGTTCCCAACCACGCTCTTCATACCACCACTTCACCGATCTCTGAAGACGCAAGTCTCTCCCTGATCTACCAGACCGAGGATTCAAAAGGTACTGGCGCAGTTTTTGCCAACTTATCTATGGTGAAGCTTTTAGTTTTATCATGATAACTGTCAACCATAGGAGAATTTTTGTACAAACAGCGGTTGAACTTTGGAACAGTGTCTTCCAGGGGGGAGATTGCAAAATTGCTATGATCAGGGACAGACAGAGAGTTAAATGTGAAGTTAATTCTTTCCTCAGCGCAAAACTCTGACAGCGTTCTGTCTTAAGGCAGTCCTGCTGCTAATGCGAGAGCAGGCATGGAAAAAACTGTTTTTCTGAACAAGACGCTCACAAAAGTCTTACTCCAGATGACTTCTAACTCTATCCATTTCACAGATTTTTTTGTAGTGCAAAAGATCAGGAAAGATTCTTCCTATTATTTATGACAGTATGGATGCTTACTAGATATAAGTACATGTAAAAAGTTCTTATGATTCTTGTCCGTGGCCGCTGCCCCGCCACTTCGACCTTTCGAAGCAAAATGAAGGCATTGACTTGTCATTGACTTGACTGATTTCCCTCTCTCCCGTACGCCAGACGAAGCTTAGTGACACCATGAGGCTGTTTGTGAGTGTGCTGCTCGTGACCATGGTCGTCGTGGCCACGCTGATCGACGACTCCGAGGGGTGGCGGCGCCGGCGCAATGCCGTGCGCAGGCGTATGCGAGTGGGTTGGTGGGTTGACAAGGCCGACGGTACGTTTAGCTTTATCGGAGTTATCCCCAAGCAGTCTGGGCTTATATTTAGGCGTAAAACACTGTTTTTGCATAGTAAATTACTAGTATGCAATCTGCGTAAGACTAGGTTTTGATTTGGGCCCCTTTCCGTCTCGATAACTTATCTTTGACGGTGCATTCGGGGTGTGGCTGTCCTCAAACATTGGACCTCCTACCTTACGTCCAATCCAGGACGTCTATGTCCAAACTGAAGCTATCGTAAGCATACAATCCTTTATATACCGCAAGGCCGCTTTGCCACGTACCTTGTCTTTTGGCTAGTTCTGACTAGAAGTCTGCGTTTTTCTCTTGTTTCACCCCCTCTCTACAGATAAAGGGTGCGGAAAAAAGGGGCATCGCTGTACGCTGAGAAAGTCTTGATACTTTTAGTCCCTGTATTTTCAGTTATACCTTGATCAAGTGTGTTTTCTTACTGATCGCCAGCGCCTGCCTTTACTGTCTGTGTGGTGTCGTGTGGCGTAATGGCCCGAAAGGTCCTGGGTTCGATCCCCAGACATGCCTTTGCGGAAAGGCACTTTACACGACTTCCCTCTCTGTACTGGAGTAATGACGCCCGCAGCGCCTTTCGGCTTATCGAAGTCGACACCGTGTCGATCTAACATTGATGAGGACACAGACGGATTTGGTGTCGCCAATGTGACAAGATCTTTACATTTGCCTCTAAGAACCTTACAATTTTTTAAATGTCTGTTTACAGGCGAGCTGATGGAGGTCATGCAGGAGGCCAGGTCCCTCCTGGAGGTACTGGACGACCTGGACGAGGCACCCGAGCCTCGCATGGAGGAGAGGGAGTATGAGGAAAAAGGTAAGAAACTTGACAACTTCTGTTTCTTTAACGGTTTGCGCATGATCGGAGCACAGTTGTGGATTTTCTAGTCTAGAGCTACGTACGGAAACAAATGTACAAGTACTTCATCTAAACGATTTACACGATTATAACAAACACACAAGCAAACAAATATTGTAACGTACAAATGTAACCGAATTCTCAAAACAGTGTACGCGATGTGCCGTGAGGCCCGTTGTCCTGTATCGTGTAGAAGTAGAAGACGGGCATGATTTTGATGCTTCGTGGTTGCAGTTAAAAGCATGACATGCCATAACGGTAGATGATATCTGAAAATGGATCAATGTTTGATATTATGATATATCTTTTTACAGGCTTACATCCAGGTGACCGGAAGTAGAGCTGGCTCCTAGCTGCTCCTGACGTCCACAGTTCGACTTTTTGATCGGCGTCAACCGCCCAGACTTAGCGACCATCAACTACACATAGAATGGGGGATTGCTAAGGTTTATAATCCATAGACTTCTATTAATCATCCTCTACTGTGGTTACATAAAGGTGAATTTCCGATGTATGAATGATTCCAGCCTCACCAGGGGTCAAGGATATTGACTAGTCCTGCCTTAAGGCCAGTATGGTGGTGCCTTCAACTTAACAATACCCCTGTATTAAAAAGTGGGGAGCATGAGGTATAATTTACATGTGTGTTTTGCTTTCATCTTTGTGTTTGTCACAACTGCACAGCATTTTATTCATGAACATCAACATTAGTTTTCATATTATTTTATTTCTATAAATGAGCATTAAATTTGTCCCCTCTCAGTATTTGTAAGTTTTGAGATAAAAGAAAATTTTTCAGTCAACAAAAGATTATGAAATAATAGAGCCAGAACAGTATATCTGTATGTGTAATTATGTTACAATCTATGACAGTAATTACATACTCAACACATAATTCAAATATACCCCAAGGTTTCAAACCTTGGGACTCCTAAATCCATTTAGCCACAGCATGCCATTTGGATATGTAAGTAAACTGATACACTGTCTTGCTTTGTGACATTTTATTTGCTGATGGTAATATGGTACAAGTACAAACGTACTACCATACCTCAAGGAGTGAAGCCAAATACATCTTTAATATTCCAAATCTGCACTGTATGAGTATGCATGATAAATCACCAGAGGAATACTGTACTCACCTAACCCTAACCCTAACCCTAACCTAACCCTACCAGTCATTAATTGAATAGTTAAACCACCCAACCCTCAGCCTATTTCTTCCAGTCCATTACATAAAAGATTTGACAAAAGCATTGACAGAAAACAATTGGAACTATTCACTGATAAGAAAACGNGGTCCCGCCAGAGGCGGTGAAGCTCGCCCTAGAACGGACACATTATTTGACCATTACTGCTCTTTAAGTTGCTGCCACGTAAAAGTTGGTATTGCAAATAAAAAAAGAAATATCACCCCGTAATCCATGACCAGGCGAAGTTACATTGAAATCACATTGCGTTCAGACGCAAATCGCGATAGCGGGGAAACCGATTCGAAACCACCTCTAGAAGTGGCTTGGGATCGAGGCGCTTTCAATGTGATTTCGGGGCGTTCACATGGAGCCACTTGAAACCGGCTTCGGGGTAAACCACATGTAAACCGCCTTGGGTGATTCCGTATAGGCCGTGTCGCGGTTTGGGTGATTCCGTATAGACACGGCCATAGACACGGCCTTGGTCAAGGACTGGTCACAACAGATAATTGACCAATCAATGGTTATATCTTAATGGTAATTGCACAAAATTGCAGTGCACGTGTGCGTCAGAGTGTATAAAGACCCGTTCCCAACCACGCTCTTCATACCACCACTTCACCGATCTCTGAAGACGCAAGTCTCTCCCTGATCTACCAGACCGAGGATTCAAAAGGTACTGGCGCAGTTTTTGCCAACTTATCTATGGTGAAGCTTTTAGTTTTATCATGATAACTGTCAACCATAGGAGAATTTTTGTTACCAACAGCGGTTGAACTTTGGAACAGTGTCTTCCAGGGGGGAGATTGCAAAATTGCTATGATCAGGGACAGACAGAGAGTTAAATGTGAAGTTAATTCTTTCCTCAGCGCAAAACTCTGACAGCGTTCTGTCTTAAGGCAGTCCTGCTGCTAATGCGAGAGCAGGCATGGAAAAAACTGTTTTTCTGAACAAGACGCTCACAAAAGTCTTACTCCAGATGACTTCTAACTCTATCCATTTCACAGATTTTTTTGTTAGTGCAAAAGATCAGGAAAGATTCTTCCTATTATTTATGACAGTATGGATGCTTACTAGATATAAGTACATGTAAAAAGTTCTTATGATTCTTGTCCGTGGCCGCTGCCCCGCCACTTCGACCTTTCGAAGCAAAATGAAGGCATTGACTTGTCATTGACTTGACTGATTTCCCTCTCTCCCGTACGCCAGACGAAGCTTAGTGACACCATGAGGCTGTTTGTGAGTGTGCTGCTCGTGACCATGGTCGTCGTGGCCACGCTGATCGACGACTCCGAGGGGTGGCGGCGCCGGCGCAATGCCGTGCGCAGGCGTATGCGAGTGGGTTGGTGGGTTGACAAGGGCCGACGGTACGTTTAGCTTTATCGGAGTTATCCCCAAGCAGTCTGGGCTTATATTTAGGCGTAAAACACTGTTTTTGCATAGTAAATTACTAGTATGCAATCTGCGTAAGACTAGGTTTTGATTTGGGCCCCTTTCCGTCTCGATAACTTATCTTTGACGGTGCATTCGGGGTGTGGCTGTCCTCAAACATTGGACCTCCTACCTTACGTCCAATCCAGGACGTCTATGTCCAAACTGAAGCTATCGTAAGCATACAATCCTTTATATACCGCAAGGCCGCTTTGCCACGTACCTTGTCTTTTGGCTAGTTCTGACTAGAAGTCTGCGTTTTTCTCTTGTTTCACCCCCTCTCTACAGATAAAGGGTGCGGAAAAAAGGGGCATCGCTGTACGCTGAGAAAGTCTTGATACTTTTAGTCCCTGTATTTTCAGTTATACCTTGATCAAGTGTGTTTTCTTACTGATCGCCAGCGCCTGCCTTTACTGTCTGTGTGGTGTCGTGTGGCGTAATGGCCCGAAAGGTCCTGGGTTCGATCCCCAGACATGCCTTTGCGGAAAGGCACTTTACACGACTTCCCTCTCTGTACTGGAGTAATGACGCCCGCAGCGCCTTTCGGCTTATCGAAGTCGACACCGTGTCGATCTAACATTGATGAGGACACAGACGGATTTGGTGTCGCCAATGTGACAAGATCTTTACATTTGCCTCTAAGAGCCTTACAATTTTTTAAATTAGTCTGTTTACAGGCGAGCTGATGGGGGGTCATGCAGGAGGCCAGGTCCCTCCTGGAGGTACTGGACGACCTGGACGAGGCACCCGAGCCTCGCATGGAGGAGAGGGAGTATGAGGAAAAAGGTAAGAAACTTGACAACTTCTGTTTCTTTAACGGTTTGCGCATGATCGGAACACAGTTGTGGATTTTCTAGTCTAGAGCTACGTACGGAGACAAGTGTATAAGTGTTTCCACTAAACGATTTACACGATTATAACAAACACACAAGCAAACAAAATGTTGTAACGTACAAATGTAACCGACTTCTCAAAACATTTCACAAGAGGACGCGATGTGCCGTGAGGCCCTTTGTCCTGTATCGTGTAGAAGTAGAAGACGGGCATGATTTTGATGCTTCGTGGTTGCAGTTAAAAGCATGACATGCCATAACGGTAGATGATATCTGAAAATGGATCAATGTTTGATATTATGATATATCTTTTTACAGGCTTACATCCAGACGACCGGAAGTAAAGCTGACTCCTAGCTGCTCCGGACGTCCACAGTTCGACTTTTTGATCGGCGTCAACCGCCCAGACTTAGCGACCATCAACTACACATAGAATGGGGGATTGGCTAAGGTTTATAATCCATAGACTTCTATTAATCATCCTCTACTGTGGTTACATAAAGGTGAATTTCCGATGTATGAATGATTCCAGCCTCACCAGGGGTCAAGGATATTGACTAGTCTTCCCTTCAGGCCAGTATGGTGGTGCCTTCAACTTAACAATACCCCTGTATTAAAAAGTGGGGAGCATGAGGTATAATTTACATGTGTGTTTTGCTTTCATCTTTGTGTTTGCCACAACTGCACAACATTTTATTCATGAACATCAACATTAGTTTTCATATTATTTTATTTCTATAAATGAGCATTAAATTTGTCCCCTCTCAGTATTTGTAAGTTTTGAGATAAAAGAAAATTGTTCAGTCAACAAAAGATTATGAAATAATAGAGCCAGAACAGTATATCTGTATGTGTAATTATGTTACAATCTATGACAGTAATTACATACTCAACACATAATTCAAATATACCCCAAGGTTTCAAACCTTGGGACTCCTAAATCCATTTAGCCACAGCATGCCATTTGGATATGTAAGTAAACTGATACACTGTCTTGATTTGTGACATTTTATTTGCTGATGGTAATATGGTACAAGTACAAACGTACTACCATACCTCAAGGAGTGAAGCCAAATACATCTTTAATATTCCAAATCCGCACTGTATGAGTATGCATGATAAATCACCAGAGGAATACTGTACTCACCTAACCCTAACCCTAACCCTAACCCTACCAGTCATTAATTGAATAGTTAAACCACCCAACCCTCAGCCTATTTCTTCCAGTCCATTACATAAAAGATTTGACAAAAGCATTGACAGAAAACAATTGGAACTATTCACTGATAAGAAAACGAAAAGAAGTATTTTCATCCTTTTTTGTACACATTTTCAGTTCCATTCACTCCAACGAGAATATTAGCACCAGAGATTTTTTGACATACGCCTTTTTTGACATAACAAGAAGATTTTGACACAACAAGTACGTAGTACAAAAACGAAGCATACATGTATGTGAATCAGTCCCGTCTGTACTGGACACCAGGCAGGACACACAGCATCTCAAACAGCAGGTTAGCTGCAGTCAGCGCTGTGTTACCGGACGGGTCATAAGCTGGGGAAACCTGGGGAAGGCAGCACAATTGTTAGATAAGTAAAAGTACATCTGTGCCAGGTACATTAGCCTGGTCATCATCAGCACATGCATCTATAACACAGCGTGAGCATGTATTGGGGCAAGCAAGAAAAATGTTACTAGTAGGTACCCAGACAAGCAACTGTCACTGATACAACATCCTTTCATTTCAATACATGCAAACAGTGAGAGGCATACTAGCATCTCACAGACAAACTGAAGGAAAAGGCTTTTACGCAAAGCCTGCAGTCATTATCTGCAATATACATAACATCAACAGGTGGCACTGTTGAACATCTCATATCTACATTCTACAGTGTGTTTTCAATATGATAACTTCATAATACACCTGAGTCATGATGCCCAGAAATTACGTAACCTTACATTTAGACTAGATCTTGCAGTAAAATTTGTTGTAAAATTTATTGCCCTGTCACTTCATATTTTTTCTAAAAAAAATCCAAGAACCAACAAATCAAATTGGTGTGGCATTTGTTCTCACCTCTACCAAGTCCCCTCCCACCAAGTTCAGCCCCCGACATCCCCTGATGATCTCCAGACCCTGGTGGGACGTCAGACCGCCTATCTCAGGTGTTCCTGTCCCGGGGGCGTAGGCAGGGTCCAGGGCGTCGATGTCAAAGCTCAGGTAGACAGGCCCAGTCCCCATCTGTGCACGAACCTCCTCCATCAGTGGTGCCAGAGACTTGTACCAGATCTCTTCTGCCTGAACCACTCGGAAACCCTGCAAGATAAAATGTTCATACATTTACCAAACTGTTGGGGTTAGTACACTGTGCTACATTGTGCAGATTGGGACATTTCTTTCTTTTATAGATATAGAGTACTAGTATACTGTTAGAAACCAGAATGATATACAATGTAAATAGAAACTTGTGTTTTTCCCCGTGCGTGTCCGCGTGTGCGTCCACATGCACTAAGCCAACTGGACCATGCTTATCCTGTAATAGAATATATGCACTAATGCTAAGTGATTTATATACAAAAAGTTATACTACTGTGCAGCATTCACCACAAATGACTGAATGATCCTCCCTGTAGATTAAAAAAACAACAACAGAAGAACTCTTACAAATGTTATATTTTGAGGAAATTTCCAGAATGGCATTAGGCTTTAAGCTGTGGGAACCTTTATGGTTTTCCCATCAAAATGTTTTGAACTGTGAATACAAACAAAACTAGAAAGGCCAACATTTGCTTCGGAGCAAATGTAGGAATTTCACTCCATACCCTTCCCCAAACAAAAATGAGAGATTCTAAATAAATCATACTGCAATTATACAAGGACAAGCTGTTTTAATCTTGACAGGTATTTACAAAACTGGCACTTGGCAATTATCTCCCTTTTTTTTACAAAGATACAACGACACGCACTTTAAATCTCGACAGCTTTACTTTACACTTTTGACGAGATTGTAACTACTACTAACGGAAGCAAAATTTTCACGGCCTGAGAAAAATGGACATGTTCACGGAACTATATATTCACGGTGGTGACAGTTGCAGGAAAAAGAAAGTTATTTCCTAACTGTAATGATAAGTTCACAATACAGAGGTGACAGTGAAAACCGTGAACATTGACCCCCCGCTTGCGTTGCGGTACAGTGAAAAAAAATCGGGAATTACAGCAATCAATTTACTGAGTATGTTTGCTTAGTTTCCAGATGTTTTGTACTTGTAGTTTTTAAATGAACGAAAACCGATGCGCGCACAGATGTTACTTTTCTGACAACATCAAAGTGATTTTGGTTTGTATGTTGAAAAAATACAAAAGACTAACATTCAAAGTTATTGAAATTCTTGAGTAAGAACAATCAGTTTTGGAATGTTAAAAGCAAAGCAATGGATATTAAAACGAAAATGTTAAAATTAAATGTTGAAATTGTTAAAATGTAAAATGGTTAAAATTGTTGAAATTGTTAAAAATGTTAAAAATTGTAAAAAGGGTAATTAAAAATATCCGGTGTACCGGGGTTCGAACTCGCAATGTCTGGATTTGCAGCCCTGCGCGTTACCAACCGAGCTATCTGGACGCGTTTCCATTACTCTCTGCATTGTATGTCATATAAAGTGAACAACATGGCGGTAACGATCGCTTCAAGTACTAGTAAGGGACATTCTAGGAGATTTCCTTCTTTATCAGGTTCGCTTTTGAACCACCGGTACCTTGATGTAACGTAACTATCAATCCGGCTAGCAGAAGCCGCCGGCTCCCTGTCCAATCTTTGAAAACTGTCGGGCATGCAAGCCCTCAACGCTCGCTTTAGGAAAATTTGCCAGGAAGCGCGCCGTCTTGCGATGTTCTCAGCAACAACAAATGAACGCCTGTACACTCTACAATTTTGGTGATTCTTCAGAAATCGATAACAGAATATATAATACTAGTCGGTGAAGATTGCGTGCGCCGACGATACACATTACGTACCGTTGTTTACAGTACTCGCGGGGCGCAGGTCATTGACCTCCCGCTTGCGTTGTTCCAACAGAGAAGAGCAAAATATCTGCCAGTTTTTGCGTCAGATTTTCAGTGTTTGTTAAAATCATATACAGGCATCCATGCAGCTATAATTCTTCCAACTAGTTCGTAGTTAGGTGAAATGTTTATAGGAATCACACGAATCGGTATCCAATATCAGAGTATCAAATAGTAATGGCCCACGGCCGAGACCGCGTGGACCAGCCGATGGCCCACGGCCGAGACCGCGTTGACCAGCCGCGCTGGTAATCCCCCTATTGTACGTGAAAATGGTAGTAAATAAATTAATAAGCCAACAGCCAATCAACAGCCACATCTGCAAACATGACCACACCTGCTTGTATGCCCATATTTGGGCCTTCCCCCGAATTCCTTTCTTATTACGTCACGCGCGTACGCCCCCACAGTACTTTCCTATGGGGACCACTAAAAAGCAAATAAAACGATTGTAAAAGCTTATCAAAAAAAAATTAAAAAACGCCTAAGGGTATTTACCCACTCTACCTCTATACGAAATTACAGGTAATTTCGCCCAAAAATGAAGGAGTTGAATCAATTTAAAGAAGTGGCAGGAGAAGAAGAAGGAGGAGAAGAAACATCAGAAAAAGCAGTATTTCACTCCATACTGAAGTATGGAGTGAAATAATCAACCAGGGAGAGATCACTAATCATTCAGGGTGAATGCTGCACCTTAACCGATCTACCTGTTGCCTGCTCCACCCATAATCATCACTGGAATTCCCCGTGCCTCTCAGCCCTATCTGTAAAACGCGTCGGCAGTCTAGGAGGCCGTCCTCCACCGCCCTGCGGAAGGGCGTGCCGTGGGCGACTTTTTCTCCGAGCTGTGTGTCGCTGGTGTCAGCGTGGGCATCAACATGTACTAAGCCAACAGGACCATACTTGGCCTACAAAACGTAACACATAAACGAAATCACAAGGGCTGGAAATATTTTCTGAGAAACTCAGATTTTTTCCTGCAAAAAGATCTCACAGACACGTGAAAACTGTAATAAATTATCAGTTGTTTGTGCTTAGAATAATACTTCTCTCTTATACATGTAGTTCGTCTAGAAGCCCTTAAGCCCTTGTTGTACATGCATAAGCTTCTCCATCCTTTTTTTGCGGATCTCTGCAAAGGACAAACATGTTTTGAGCTGATCAACCTTTCCTAGCTCCGTGATCTGACACCAAAGTGATGAAATGTTATACAATCAGTTTTCCAACGTTGAGGTTGAAAATTGAAGTATGCTCATGCAACTTTTACTTTGTTAATTATTGTGTAAGTTGAATCACTAGAGGTTGTGAAAGTCTAGAAAAAAAGATAATCCCTACCTACCGACCCTAATTTTTCAGGACTGAAACAGGAAACTAGGCCAAACTACAACTTCATGGAAGGTAGGCTAACTAAAGTCCACTGTCCCGTGAACTTCAGAAGTTACATACCTTAATGGCCTGTAAGATGGGGTAGGTAAGAGTATGGTCACCCCCCAGGGTCAGGGGCTTGCACCCATTTGCCACAATCTTGGCGTAAGCCTCTCGGATCTTCTTCACGGCGTCCTTCAAGTCGTACATGTTGATGAAGACGTCTCCGATATCCGCAACTTGGAGGGAGTCGAACGGTGCTGCACCTGTAGAGAAGTGGGCATGTGACATTGTATGAGTACAAATAAACATACAACAAGTTGATATTGTGTTGCAGTTTGGTAGAACATTGTTCATACTTGGCTTTAGCAATATAGCCAGTCAGTGTACCCTCCAAGCAGAGGTTGGTGGGATTGTTACCTTAAGCTTTCTATACCTGTATATCATTAATTATATGCTCCGTTTTTTCTGTCACTACCTTCTGTTGGTGGGGGCAGTGACAGAAAAAATGAGGCATACATAGAATAGAAAGTTCCCCACCAACCTCTGCTTAGAGATAAGTCAGTGAACACTACATTTCAATACATCTATTCTAAACAGTGTTCTTAGTTGTACATTGTAGCGGTTGAAGTTGGAGTAACAGTGTGCTAGTACTAGTAACATATGGTACCTAACATACCTGTCCAGTTGTTGTAAGGTCTGAGCATGACCGACTCGGTGCGAATCTGTCTTGGTCCAAATCTGGTTCCTGACCGGTTGGATGTACCGATGTCCAGTGGGATCCCCACAAAGCAGGCATCCAGACCTGTGTGTGTAACAGTGCATAGAATTGATAATAACTATATATATAATGTAATGTCATCAGTGAAAAGCCTATGAATATACTGCAAAAATTACTATAATGTGAAAATTATCATATCCAGATCAAAGCCGGGTCAAAGCGAATCTATTCGGCTTGATCCGGAGTCATTCCGGACGATTCTATCCTTGTGTGAAAAGGGCATTGATAATGACAAGATAGGCAGGCAACACCAAGCACACTTCTCTGTGGCGTTGCCAAAAACTGCGTGGGGTCATGTATGGGGCAAATTATGCCTGGCCTGGCAACATGTGTGTGGGGTCCCCCCTTCACACCCTTGACAAAATATTTTTTTTTTCATGGGTAAGATATGTTTAGGATCTAAGGTAAAGACACAACTTGAGGAATCATCTTTGATGAAAACATTGAAGGGTAGAAGTAAGAGCTTCGCCGTTTGGAACGTTCGCGGTTTAGGCTCGAAATTAGAAGATGTAGAGTTTTTAGATGAAATATGTAAATTCGACTTCTTTTCGTTACTTGAAACATGGAGCAATGAAAACACAAAGATCAACATCGCTAATTATAGCTACTTCCATCCGCACAGAACAAAAAGTAAGCGAGCAAAACGCTCTTCGGGGGGAATAATATTTTTCTACAAAAACGAATTCAAAAATCACATCAAGAAAGTACCTTCCAAATCGACAGACATCCTCTGGGTGCAAGTAGATCGTACCTTGTTAGAACTTCCAAAAGATTTATTTATTTGTTCAGTTTATCTAAGCCCCAGCGCTTCTACTACTCATAGAAATGCTGAGAATCACGTATTAGAAATTCTAGAAGAGGAAATTTGTAAATACAGTTCAGAGGGATTCATACTACTAGGGGGAGATTTGAATTCGCGCACTGGTAATCTTCGTGATTATGTAGATGATGAAATAAACAAGGACGGCTTTACCGACATTCCCTCAAACCACGTTAGCAACAGACAATTTGTTGACAAAACGTCCCCCATTGCAACAAGTTCGGCCGTCTTCTAACCGATCTGTGCATTCAGGCCGACCTCAGAATACTGAACGGCAGGGTCCCTGGTGACTTGCAAGGTAAATTTACTTGTCACCAACCTAACGGTAGCAGCACAGTCGATTATATTATTTGTAGCCAATCTTTCCTCCAAAATGTTTTATTGTTTCAGGTCCATCCCTTAACTCCCTTTTCTGACCACTGTATGTTATCAGTTTTCCTTCACTCTAACTCAGTACATGTACATCAACCAAACAAACATAAACACGAAAGGTCAAAAACAAAGCCCCTCCCAAAATGTTTTCACTGGAATGAAAAATCTACCCAAAAGTTCGTCCGTACACTCTCCTAACCTCATTTTTCCAAAAGACTGAACTCCCTTTCATCCAAAAACACTACTTCGAAGGTAGAAATAGAAACATTCGTCTCGGAGTTCAGTTCAATTTTGATAGACGCCGGTTCCAAGTCCTTGTCAATTAGGAGAACAAATAATAAGAAACGCCCCCCACTAAAACAAAAGAAACAATGGTTTGACAAGAGTTGCGTCGAACTAAAACGAGAAGTAAAGAACTTGGCATACTTACTTGTAAAGCAACCGTCAAACTCAGACATATATAAGAGGAAGATATTTTAAAAGAAAGAAGGAATATAGAACTAGTAAAAAAGAAGAAAAGGGACTTCCACAAACACATAATGTCCCAATTGTCTTCACTTAAAGACAGAAATCCGGCTGCATTTTGGAATTTAGTAAAAAAATTAAAACCATCAAAAGCTCAAGAAGTCAATCAAATCTCAGAAGAAGACTGGCTTAAACATTTCAACAACTTAGACAAACTTTCCAGTAACACTACAAACGACCACATCACAGATTGTAACAATCTTAATTTATCGTCACTCCCTGAAAATCCCTCTGTTTAAGACTCCCCAATAACTCCAGAAGAACTGAATACTGCCATCTCTAAACTCAAGAACAATAAATCAAGTGGTAACGACATGATTTTGAATGAAATGTTAAAGTCAGGCAAATTAGTGCTTCAAACTCCAGTCCTTCAATTATTTAATACATGTCTGCAAAACGGATACTTTCCTGAGGAATGGTCCATCAGCCACATTGTTCCAATCCACAAGTCTGGTGATCCTTCTCTTCCAGACAACTACCGGGGTATATCTATAATTAGCTGCCTAGGAAAATTATTTTCGTCAATATTAAACTGTCGCTTAGTTAGCTATGCTGACAATAATAATCTCTTCAAACCCCACCAGCCAGGTTTTAGGAAAAATTTTAGAACTACAGATAATCTATTCGTATTAAGCACCCTAGTTAGCAAATATATTAGTAACTAGAAAGGCCAATATTTGCTTTGGAGCAAATACAGCGATGGGTTCACCACATTTTACGACATGGCAGGGAAAGAATGAGAAACACAAGGGAAAACAATGATTTACATTGATATAACTATAATATGAAGTAACATACATGTGTACAACTAAAACAACAGTTGGATAGCTATTCCCTACTTTATTGGTTAGGATTTTTAATTGCATAATGCAAACTGTTGATTTAAAAAAAAAACGTTCATGCCCCGCATTCCAATGCTGGAGCAGAAAAGCTTGAAATACCTACCAAAACACTTGAATAAAGACATACTGTCAGTATGGAAATGCTCTGTGCAGGTGTTAATCAAGTTAAATCCCAACAGCCAATCAGCAAGAAATGCTCTGTGCAGGTGGAAATGCTCTGTGCAGGTGTTGATCAAGTTAAATCCCAACAGCCAATCAGCAAGAAGTATAGAGGAAAGCTGCATGCCTATTGGTTGATGCCCTGCATTCCATTGTGATGACTCATGCCCAGACGTGTAAACACGGCACACTAACACAGTAATACATTTGCTATAACACAGCCAAAAAAACTCAAATAAAACCATTCTAAAAGCCTGTATCACAAAAATTTAAAAAACGCCTAGGGGTATTTGCCCACTGTACCTCCATACCAAATTTCAGGACCTTAGGCCCTAAAATGAAGAAGCTGAATCCATTTAAAAAATGGCAGGAGAAGAAGAAGAAGGAGGAGAAGGAGAAGAAACATCAGAAAAAGCAATATGGGGTCACCACCACTTCGTGGTGTGGTGAACCCATAAAAATTCTCGTCTCTTTGCCTGCTTCGTAGATTTTAGTAAGGCGTTCGACTCTATCTGGCGTAATGGACTCCTAGTTAAATTAAACAAGTTAGGTATAGAGGGAAAATTCCTGAAAACAATCAAAGACATGTACTCAAAAACCACTAATCGTGTTAAAAGCAGTAACGGCTTGACTGAATCTTTTGCTACAAACTGCGGTGTCAAACAGGGCTGCAATTTAAGCCCGACTTTATTCAATTTATTTTTAAGTGATCTTCCATCTGTATTCAATAACGATTAACGTTTAGTAAGCGAATACCTTGTTTGTTGTATGCAGATGATTTAGTCCTTTTTTCCGAATCCAAGCAAGGACTACAATCATCCCTAAATATATTAGAAGAATATTGTAATACCTGGAAGTTAAATGTTAACATCAAGAAAACAAAGATTATTGTTTTCACCAAAGGTGGTCGTATACCAAAGGAACTATTTTTTGTGTATAAGAGAAATATGTGTGTACAATAAAGGTCTTCATTCAATAAGTAAAACCTAAGATAAAGCGTCAGGAAGTTCTGTACGTACCTTGTGTATCCTTCTGGACGGGTAGACGCATCATGGACGCGATACCGCCGGGTCTGGGCAAGTCGTTCCCGCTGGGAGGAACGTTGAACTTCTGCTGCCAGACACCGCTCGTGCACAACGGTCTGGATCCTTCAAGGGGACCGCAACGGCCCCGAAGTGTCTGCAGAAGAACTCGCCTGCCTGCAACCGCCATAATTTTGGATCTAAAACGTCCTAGGTTCTTATGAAATTGGTACTTCACTAGTACTACTTCACTGCGTAAGGGGGCGGGGTTGTTGCAGACATGGTAATAATAGAGCACCATGCGCCAAGCAGACTGCCTGAGCGCCAAGAGAGTTCAAAGTTCACAGTTGTTGATCATCGAGAAAATGTTGACAATCTGGCGCTACAAGGTTAAATCATTGACATTACAATGTTGTTTTTGTTACCTCTTTCGACAAGCCAGTTTTCGTTGTGAAAATGATCTTATTTACGAAGATTTCGCTGAGAGCCACTGTTTAGTTGGTACGAATGACTAGATGACAAACATTGCGACCTACTTTTCCGATAATCTAGTACAAGCAGATGTTAGGGCATAATGAATTTCTTTATGTCCTTTATGGCTGACCCGTATTCTTGGCACGCACCAATCACGAGGTGGGGTATTTCTTGACACACAGCCTTACATTTCCCCAATGAGATGTAAATCGGGTCCTAGCTCCTTCCCACTCTGAGATGACGTGCTGTTGTAGAGAGAGAGGGAAGTCGCCAGGAGGCGTGTTTAATTAAAGGCCCACTACGTCTTCTTCTTCTCACAGACAAGCAGGGGAGATATATTACCTCACACGGAGGTTTCAAACACGCGTACCTTGGGTCAATACTCACTCATTTGGACCTATGTACTACATGTACATTTTGTGCCATACTGGCTGGCCGTAGCTTTCGGTAGGAAATTTAATTTTGAGATTTACACATGCGCCCCACTCGGTGGTTTTATTCAGTGTTATGGTAACTGAAAAGGCTTAATCACAACACATACGCCGAGGATCAGGCGAGTCACTTACGTTATTATCATATAGCCCATCCAAACTGGCACAGTGCACATTCATGTATAACATAAATTATACAGTCACTCCCCTATCTTTACCATCCGCTGGGTTGATGTTCCTGTGCACCTCCCTTCGATCTGAGGACTGCTTGATGGGTCGGCACTGTACTGAGTCGTGGAGCTTCGGTAGCCTGGGTGCACGGCTCCGTATTGACGCTAACTACAATGGACTACTCGGGCCTAGAGCCAGGCCAGAGCCTCGGTGGACGTGATTTTTTTTTGAGAACAGGCGAAAATCAATGCACGCGAGGATGTCTTCCATAAAATTAGGTCGGTGTGGCCTTACTGTTAACAAAAATAAATTTGACAAAAAAAAAAAAAAAACAACATCGCAGGTAACGAACAGGTCTAAAGTATTGGTGTCTAAGCCTAGCTTGGTTCAAGTAATTTTCTCAATTTCTTTATCTGCTTAACCAGAAATTGTTCAGAAGAGAAGGACACTGGACAGGACATGCAATTACAGGTGCTGCAATTTTACCCACCTGTTTTTCGGTACGTTTGAAGAGAAGGAAACATTGTGCAGGCTATAAAATACATGTACTGTTGATCGTCATAGAAAACCTGGTGACCTGACCATTTGATAGCTATGAAATCTAAGTAGTAAAATAGGTACGGTTTAAGATGCGTATAAAGTTTTAGTGGGAAAACTGGAATTAATAATGAACATGTCTGGAATTACGTTTATTTTTCGGGGGGGGGGTCTTTTCCTTTTCCGTTAGCTTTGATCTGTTAGATGAAATGGAAATACCGTACGGTCAACAACTGCTTGTAAAGCTGTTTTCAAAAGATGGGCACTGGAGTACGGACAGAACCTGCAGGTAATGTAGTTATTACAACCATTAGCGTAATTAAATAGAAAGACATTTTGCAGAGCATGCAACTTCTCTGTGGGTCACTGTGTCCCAAAGGTCGTTGGTATCATGGTTAAAACAAGGACACTGGACAGACTCAGCAATTAATGTGAGTCATAAGTGGAGCAATTACTACGATTAGTGATCTTTTATTCCTAGGTATACTTTAGGTGTCCACAGGGAGACACATTTCGTCAGAAAAAATTAAGGTGGGCTGAAACAAAAGGGCGCCGCCCGGGCGTCTGGACAATAATATGTAGCGTGGAAATTGTAATTGCCTCATCAGTAGTGGTAAACAACGATATCACAGGTGGTCGTTGATTGTGTACCTTGACTTTTTCTTTTTTTATAAACTTTCTTGGTACATCACGAAGGAATTTTTTAAGGGTTGGATAGTGTAGTACTAGTACTGGACCATTTTGTTTGCAAACTTTGCCAGGGATTTAATTTGGAGCGATAATTAATAACCGGCTGACGGGCCATGATGTCCATGTTTGTTTGATGTCGTTAATTTCTCGTCGGCACGACGACATAAAGACGAAGAAATATCTGTAATCTTGTTGTCACCGCTTACTAACCTGCTACACCTGCAAGTATGCAGACCCCCAAACCCACCAACCCTATCATCCACGGCCAGTGATTGGTTGGAAAATTGGTCAGGGACTGGTCACAACAGATAATTGACCAATCAATGATTATATTTTAATGATAATTGCACAAAATTGCAGTGCACCTATGCGTTAGAATGTATAAATACCCGTTCCCAACCACGCTCTTCATACCACCACTTCACCGATCTCTGAAGACGCAAGTCTCTCCCTGATCTACCAGACCGAGGATTCAAAAGGTACTGGCGCAGTTTTTGCCAACTTATCTATGGTGATGCTTTTTGCACGATAACTGTCAGCCATAGGAGGGATTTTGTACCAACAACGGTTGAACTTTGTAACATTCTTCCGTGGGAGATTGCTATGATCAGGGACAGACAGAGAGTTAAAAGTGAAGTTAATTCTTTCCTCAGCGCAAAACTCTGAAAGCGTCCTGTCTTAAGGCAGTCCTGCTGCTAATGCGAGAGCAGACATGGAAAAAAAACTGTTTTTCTGAACAAGACGCTCACAAAAGTCTTACTCCAGATGACTTCTAACTCTATCCATTTCACAGATTTTTTTGTAGTGCAATTTTGTAGTGCAAAAGATCTGGAAAGATTGTTCCTATTATTTATGACAGTATTGATGCTTACTAGTACTAGATATAGGTACATGTAAAAAGTTTCTTGTCCGTGGCCGCTGCCCCGCCACTTCGACCTTTCGAAGCAAAATGAAGGCATTGACTTGTCATTGACTTGACTGATTTCCCTCTCTCCCGTACGCCAGACGAAGCTTAGTGACACCATGAGGCTGTTTGTGAGTGTGCTGCTCGTGACCATGGTCGTCGTGGCCACGCTGATCGACGACTCCGAGGGGTGGCGGCGCCGGCGCAGGCGCAGGCGTAACGGCAAGCTGGATGCCGATGACGAGGCCGACGGTACGTTTAGCTTTATCGGAGTTATCCCCAAGCAGTCTGGGCTTATATTTAGGCGTAACACACTGTTTTTGCATAGTAAATTATGCAAGCTGCGTAAGACTAGGTTTTGATTTGGACCCCTTTCCGTCTCGATAACTTATCTTTAACGCGTTCGCCTGAGCTGCGGCTCTCCTCAAACATTGGACCTCCTACCTTACGTCCAATCCAGGAGGTCCGTGTCCGAACTGAAGCTATCGTAAGAATACAATCCTTTATATACCGCAAGGCTGCTTTGCCACGTACCTTCTGGCTAGTTCTGACTAGAAGTCTGCGTTTTTCTCTTGTTTCACCCCCTCTCTACAGATAAAGGGTGCGGAAAAAAGGGGCATCGCTGTACGCTGAGAAAGTCTTGATACTTTTAGTCCCTGTATTTTCAGTTATACCTTGATCAAGTGTGTTTTCTTACTGATCGCCAGCGCCTGCCTTTACTGTCTGTGTGGTGTCGTGTGGCGTAATGGCCCGAAAGGTCCTGGGTTCGATCCCCAGACATGCCTTTGCGGAAAGGCACTTTACACGACTTCCCTCTCTGTACCGGAGTAATGACGCCCGCAGCGCCTTTCGGCTTATCGAAGTCGACACCGTGTCGATCTAACATTGATGAGGACACAGACGGATTTGGTGTCGCCAATGTGACAAGATCTTTACATTTGCCTCTAAGAACCTTACAATTTTTTAAATGTCTGTTTACAGGCGAGCTGATGGAGGTCATGCAGGAGGCCAGGTCCCTCTTGGAGGAACTGGACGACCTGGACGAGGCACCCGAGCCTCGCATGGAGGAGAGGGAGTATGAGGAAAAAGGTAAGAAACTTGACAACTTCTGTTTCTTTAACGATTGCGCATCATCGTAACACAGTTGTAGATTTTCTAGTCTAGAGCTACGTACGGAGACAAATGTACAAGAATTTCATCTAAACGATTTATACGATTACAACAAACACACAAGCAAACAAAATATATATAACGTACAAATGTAACTCCGAATTGTCAATGCATTTTACAAGGGACCAACGCATGTAATGAGTATCTTGATGCTTCGCGATTGTTAAAAACACTCCATGCCATCACGCGAAATATGTGAATATGGATATGGATGTTTGATATTATATCTATTTTTACAGGCTTACGTCCAGGTGACCGGAAGTAGAGCTGGCTCCTAGCTGCTCCTGACGTCCACAGTTCGACTTTTTGATCGGCGTCAACCGCCCAGACTTAGCGACCATCAACTACACATAGAATGGGGGATTGCTAAGGTTTATATTCCATAGACTTCTATTAATCATCCTCTACTGTGGTTATACATAAAGGTGAATTTCCGACGTATGAATGATTCCAGCCTTACATATCAAAAGGCTTTTCAACCGCAAAATCAACATCAATTTTCGAAAAAAAAAACCGCCGTGTTCAATAACGTATAACTTTATTGCGCAACAATTGTACATGGTCCAAATATGGCATCTACTAAGTACATATCAACTACATTTTCATATAATGGAACATCATTCTGACCACAATGACAAAAGTGCAATGCTACGTACGTCTCTGCAGAAAGGTGGAATACTTGTACCCAATACTTGCTTGGTGATCTTTTCTTGAATAAAACTTACAGGTGTAACTTTGTGTCTGAATTCATCTTTCCTTTAAGGTTATGATAGATAGCCAAATGCAGAGAAAAAAAAGAAAGATCTAGAGTTACACTAGGCAGCCTATAACTGTCCAAAACTAGGTAGCAAGGTAAAGCGTGTCCAAACAATACTTATGGGTCACTATATTCAGTATATACTTCATAGAATCTGCCAATTACTTTATTAAGAACAGGCTAGCTTTGAAAACATGCAAAGGGTAGATTGTAAAAAGAATCTATGTTAGCTTGTAAGAAACAGGTTAGAAAATGCTGTCTTACTCTATACAGTCGGTGTGCCATCCTTTGTATTTGGTCGAGGCCCCCATGGCATACCACATCGATATCCCTACCCTATTTTTAGCGAGAACAGCATCGGTATCTAGCTAGTATAGAAGTCCCAGCATAAGAAATCGGCTGGCAAGTTTTCACACTAAATTGTCGGAATTTAGAATTTTGTCAGCCTCAGTTTTGTGAGGTTAAATTTTGTCGCTGCACGCAGTTTTGGCCACCACTAATGCTATGAAACCTTTGACAACTTGCAGAAAACAGACAATCTGATTATTTCCCTTTTGTTGTGCCGATCGAAACCCATGTTTATCGCGATAATTGCTACATAATTGTTCATTCGGTCTTTGTTAAGCCGTTTAATATGTACAATTCATGTCACCATTACAATTCTCAGCGTTAAATTGTTAAATTGGGCGATTCCGCTTATTGTTGTGCAGATCTATAATTATCTCAATGGCTAATTTAGTGTAAAATCCACAATGTTTTTAATTGGGGCTTAAGCCGTATCCTAATCATGGTGTGTCATCTTCTGACAACTGCCAGAAAGGAAACTGTTAAAATTTTCATAGCTTAAAATTGGTTAAATATATAGGTGAAGTCAGGTGTAGCCTGTGTTTACATAAGCTCTCGGTAGGAGGTGAATGACCACACCCCCAAGATACTGTAATATTAAGCATATCTGAATAAAAAGTTATGGACATGATCGAGGGAGAATTGATGTCAGTTCATGATGCTTTTGATTGGGGGCGGCAATCATTGGCATTGAACATCACCAACTCCCCACGCTACAGTCATAAACTGCTTGACCAATGCACTCCCTGTCCCCAAATTGGAAGTCAATTATAGCTTTGAAGAATGGTAGTTCCCTGTAGAAATCGATAGGTGGCAGTATTTCCTGGACTACATACTACTTGAACGCAAAGCACATCTGGAATGTATTATCAACCCAAAGAACTTAAGAATGGTCCAGAATCTGCTTCCTTCCTGTGTCATCTGCAGCATGTGTGAGGTGAGGACATGTGGTTATATAGCGATTTGTTCAAGTAAACGTGCATTAGCTTAAAATACATAATTTCAGGTTGCCCCAAAATATTAGAAGCGTCAAATTAGCTACTAGTATAGTGGCTTCAAATCTGCCGCCAGGTCTACGTCGTTGGCAAATCATCTGCTATGTTTATCCTAGCCTGACTCGTTCTTCAGCGGGAGATTCGGCTGGCAGTTTCACGTAAGCAGTGCTACAGTTTTATATTCTAAACTATTCAATTGGTATGTAGGTTTATGGTGAGGCATGTGTAGGTTATAGTCTGAGCTTTGTAAGTAAAAGGTTCAACGTAGAATATAACAATTTGTTTTGCCAAGGACATTATTGCATGTGGCTAGCTGAAGTACGTTGTGCTCCAATGTACTGTACATGTAAGAGGGTCTGTATGGGGAAATTCTGGCAACAGTACAAATGTAGGTCAGTAGAATAATGGTAAAGTTTTAATAGGACATTCTGAATAACTGCCACAGCACCAAAAGACTGTCCATACAATATACATAGATAGAATCTTGAAACTTTATTTTCAACCACCACCATTACCAGTTGTACATGTAATATTCTGTGTATCTTGCTAGTCACGGTGTTATTCTTACATTTTCAAACATCTTCAATTCCACCTCAGGTGCAGTTCTTCTTACAAATAACAGTTTTAAATAGTGATAAAAGAATAATACTAGTAAACCATGTCTCGGGTATATCTACAGTATGTTCCCTTCTCCCAGTGCACCATTTTCTTTAGATGCATTTTTATCATACCTTAACTAATGCTTAGCAAAAGAAGTAAGAAGTATTTGATAGTATTGGTATGATAAATAAGGTGGCCATCCATTATAGAGTCAAGCAAAATGTACAACATAAAGATGTGTCAGCAGTACAAGATACATGGCATTTTATAGAAATGTTAGATCCTGAGATTAATTTATACTCTGGACACACAGTCCTTGGCTCAAGTCCTTGTTGAAATGTTATAACTTCCTTTAAGATCAATGTATTATATAGGTATAAGGGATGGTATATAACAAAAATTGCCATTATTAAGCTAAAATATATCATTATAATATATGGTTCTCCTCAAAAGAGGAAGACAGATTTCTATTTTTCTTTTGTAGGAGACCCTATTCCCAACCCTAAAGCATTTAATCCTGTATAAAAAAAATTTTGATTAATTCTTATACAACTGAAAAGCATAAATATGAAAAGTTATAGACTACCAAAAATACTAGTACTGTAGTAAAATATAGTTACACATTAGAACAGAAAAGTTTAAACAATTATATAATGCTTGTTTGAAAGTGTTTCATATCTCTTTTACCAGTAACTAAATACTAGTAAAGTTCAAACAATTATATGATGTTTGTTTGAAAGTGTTTCATATCTCCTTTAACCAGTAACTAAATAAGGATTAATATCGACTGCTCCCCCTTGACCTCGGTATGGATTGTTGCATCATGGGAGGTATCTCGGGCTGTCCCATTGGTTCAGAAGAGGGGGGAGCCAGGTACACCCTGAAGGGACTGCCAGGGACATGTTTATCAGACCACTTTACCGTGATGTCGTAGTTCCCGGGGAAGGTGGGGTCGTATGACACAGCTATGACACGTTCGTTCTCCGCCAATGGGTTCATGCGAACCTTAAAGGCACCTGGAGAAAAATAAGAACACGTTTAATCAATGACATCAAAATCCCTGGCATATACATTTCAGGTTTAATCTGTATACATGTATGCCCATATCTATGAGGTTGAGGAAAATGATTGTAAATTGTGCCTTCTATGTGTATAAAGCTTTTTATTCATCTCCAAGCAGATGTAGGATGAAGCATTTGAAGTAACGTCATAATAGCAGATTTTTTTTTCAAACTTACAAGTATCTAAATGTACATCCAGATCTTTGTCAGATTTTGATACAACCTTCCAGACCATTTTTATCCCCCTTTGATTGGCACAGAGATTCAATGTTAACTTTAGATAAACAACTAAACAAACAATCAAAACAATGGGATGCATCTTGAGCACATCAACCTGTTGCTCTGTTTGGTACCTGTCTGTTCTGGCGACACTATTGTAGACTGGTCCTCCCACCGTGAGGGGGCCTGCTTACGGAAGGACAGCTCGGTAGTCTTTTTTTACATTTATCTGTACATACTTTGATGTTTTTTTTAGATGCGTTTGTGTCATTTTGTTATGTGTCTGTATACTATAGGCCGTCGAGTCTTAAATAGATAATAAAGTGAATTACCTTTGGGTCCCTGAATCCTGACGGACAGATCGCCCTCCCCTGCCCCGCGTGTATCACACAGGAAGTTCCCCCTGTAGTAGTTAATCATGCCGTTGTTCAGGCCTGGTCCGAACACCTTCACCCTCTTGTAGTCAGACTTGGAACCAACCTCGAAAACATGTGGACTCCCTTCAGGGTGAGAGAAAGGGAAACAAAAAGTTGTAAGAACTGAAAATGAATTAGAGAACTCTATTTGACAATGTACATCCATGTATATATTATGTAGTTGGCTCTATTGAATTTCATGCTTTGACATCCATACTTTTATGTAGTATATTAGTGCTAGTATGGTAATCAGCATCAGTTAATTTCCCAGGTCCTGTCCTTGGTGCTGAATGATACTTCTTTTGATAAAAGGTCCATTTTGGAACTTACAAGATCTACTCTCATCTATCTGTTTAGATAAGGTAATGAATAAGAATCATGCTTTGAATGAAAGCATTTACAGGTAAGATTTTCTCATTTTGCAAGGTACATAACATTTCTACATTTTTAAGAATATTTTGAAAAAAAAGAAGATATTAATTCTGTAGTCGGTTCATGATTTTTAGTAAAGCCTAGTGGGTGCTCCTAGTGGGTTGTAGTACGAAACAGGAACTGTCACTCGAGAGCGTGCAGAGGAGAGCCTTGAAGATCATCTCTCTGGGGGGAAGGAGGAATGTTCCCGACCTCCCTACACTCCGAGAAAGACGGGAACTTGCGGCTGTCAAGCTGTTCAAGCGCATGCTCAGCCCTGACCACCCACTACACGATTTGGTACCGGGAGCCAGGTCGGACAGCACGGGGAGGTGTTTGAGGAACTCTGGGGGAATCACGGTGCCCAAGGCACGGACAAACAGACTGTACAACTCGTTCCTCCACTGCACAATCAGATTGTACAATAGCCAAACGCAGACCTAGTGTTCTAGTGTTTCATGTCCCACTTTTGTATGTAATTGTCTTGTGCATTTCTATACTTATGTAAAGTCCACACAATTCAGGAGTACTACGTACCCCTGCTATGTAGACTGTTCTTAATAAAATTGAAAATTGAAATTGAAGTAGGTTCAAAAACTGTCACCTATCCTCAACGAAATTTCGTAATTCGTTTGTTTTTGCTTTTTGTTATTTCGTTTGCAGAGTGACAGGTTGTTTGGTAAATGAACTTTTGGTGTAAATAGAAAAGAAATGTGGGAACGATCGAAGAACAAAAGCAGTGTTTGAAATACACAAGAATGAATAGACCTTAGGTAGTTAGTACAACAGTGTACAGTTTTGTATATCAGACAGCTACTAAGTTTCGTAATGCCTTCACAAGTATATATATATTACGTCTTTATTGATTTGTCGAACGTTTTGACGATGACTTAAATGAATAAGTGGCTGAAAATTAGCAGAATTTTTGTGTTTTACAATTCTGATCTATAGGNACATACGGTCATTTTCNGTCAGCTGGTTCTGTC